AAAAAAAAAAAAAAAAAAAAAAAAAAAACTAATCTAACGTTTTACTGTACTTTCTGGCACTTCTAAATTAGTCGTAATCACAAATGGAGATGACAGCTTTTCTTGCTCACAGGCTTGTATATATGTAGGAATTAAAGGAGCCGGTAATGCTTCTGTTAAGGGAGCATTCATAAGATCCTGCAAAAAAAATCTGCGATAACGAATAACGGTATTCATAACAACGTTGATCGAAAAGGAACTGGATATTAAAAAATCTATAATAACCCATATTTTGATCCAAGCGTCTGGACATTTATACTAATTATCTTAATGGTCAAGTACTAATCACAGAAATTCACAGGTCACTGAAGAATCAAAAATGAAATAAAAAAATTACCGCAGCTGAGATGACATTTACCGATTCTACACAGCTGGTCGAATCAAATGACTGAAGATTAGCGGTCGTAACAGGCTGCGCATATGTCATTCCCTATTGTGTAACTAATGATTTATTGTTCAAAAAGCTAATAAAAAATGGAGGAACGCAACAGTAGAGCAAAAATGAATATGCAGTACTAAATGATAAGAGTTAAAGAGTCGAATATAGCAAAGATTTTAGTTGCATCGGATAATTACTTTGTGCAGATTACAAAAATGAATATAAAATACTAAATGAGAAGTATTATTTAGAACTGCATATTCGTTTTAATTATATTTATTCATTATTCAATATAAGAAAGTTTTCTTTAACATTTAGCAATAATTTTTTTACAAAGACAACATGCTTATCATTCTGTCGAGTAATTTAAATAACAACACTAAATATTGCTGAACTTCCTTACTTATTTGTAAAAAATAATGGGAAAAACTTACTGTCTTTGTAATAATTGGTTGCATGGTGGCGTTGCTCATATTCTGAAGGGGTTGATGCCAAGGTGACGCCATTTGAGATTTACCACCTTGTGAATACTAAAAATAAAGCGAAACTAAAAGATTGGAGAAAATTATTGCTAAATGTTGAAGAAAACTAACAATTAAGCGGCGTGGCGGAAAAGTGATCCCTAGCCCGGATATGGAAGTAGTACTAACTGTTGCCTGTATGTTTCGTGTCAAATTTGAATCTCTGTTGATCGGTGAAAGTTGAGAAGCAATTAATGGAGGCTGTCTGACTCCATAAGATGATTTTTGAGCTTCAATTGATGCATTATATTTTATGCTTGCTCCCGATTGCGGCGGAGTGCTTGAAATGGATACGTGAGCAGAATTAACTGGAATGTAGCTTGACGCACAGGACATAGGCTGTTTGACTATTGAACTAGAAGAAATATTTCGAAGAAGTGGTGTAGCTTGCCTTTCAAATAAACCTATTTTAGCTGCGGCTCGTGAGGAATCTGGAATTACTGAGGTTGGTGAAAAGTGTTGAGCGCTAGCCGAGGTAAAAGTAAAAGGTGTGGCAGTGGAATTTTGAAAGCCTAAATTGATCTGTTCATTTGGCAGATGAGATGGTAAAGGTGGTAGATGTTGTGATAAAGATGCATCAGTTGCTTGAGAATGAGAATATGATATAGATGAAGTTGAATGACCCAAATGATTTGGTAATGGAATTATTTCACCTGGCAATGTAGATAAATGACGAATCCCGCTGGTAACAGTATTTAGTAATGCACTAGAACCAGGGTGATCAGATAAAGTTGTTACATTAGACTGCAGTGGATTAGAAGAGTGAAAATTAGTCATCGGTGAAGGAATGTACGGTGTTCTCGCTCGATTAGTTGCTACTTGAATGTTGTTTGGGACGGATGACGCATTCGTAGGATAAGATCTTCGCCCCATTGCAATATTATTTCGGTAGTACTCCAAATAATCTTTCAGCCTCAAACCTTCACCAGCTGAAATTGCCCGATTTTTCGATTCTCTGTTAAACATTCGAGTTTTTTCTATTTTGAAAACCCAAATTGGTTTCTTAATTTGGCAGATGAAGTAGCAAAAAAAATGTACAATCAGCTCGGTTTTTATTTTGAATGTGATTTCCCCAATAGAAAGTGAAATGCGAAGTTCCCCATTAAAGAATTCTACACTATTTCTTTTCATCGAAATAAATCAGAAGTGAACAGATAAGAAATTATTAACCTAGTTCTGCAACACTGTCTCTTCTCGCGTTTTCAGAACTGACCAAAACATCAAACTTTTCGTTTTTAGTACTTAAAGAGGGAGTCCATTTCGTAATACTAGTAGAATGCTTTTCCAATTCCCGCATCATTTCTTTTTCTGCCTCCTTTTTTTCGTCTTCAACTGTAAATATCCAAGATACAACTTCAAAAAGGCACCAATGAGAATGAATTTCAATAGTTTTCCCTCTTTACCAGTTTTAAAAGAACTGAACCAAAGCTTACAAGCACTTTCAACTGCTCCTACAGCTCCATCCAGACTTTTAATCAATGAAAACAGCGTTGAATAAAATTGTAATCCCTCCTCTGTCTTTTGCAAAACATCAATGAATAGATCATAAGCTGCTACAAGCGTTAGTACTTGATCCATACGACTAAAACAATTGAAAGCAAAATTTATGCTAGGTCGAACTCTACTTTTAAAATACAGAATTGATACAATTCTTTTAAGTTGTCACCTTCTATTTTCTTCAATAATTTTCTTACGATAATCACCAAAATTCGCATTTGCATCAGTTAATGCATTGAGAATATTCGTTTGAGCAGCAAGATTTAAGTCGATTAAACTAGCTGTCGATTCATGCTTTTTTAACTCCTTTTCATACAACTCCTGCATAAAATTTTACTTTGAAATCAATAAAACAAACGAATAATTAAGCTAAAACCGAATGAACAAGAATGAAACAAACCGAATTATCCTCGTTTTTTTCCACTAAACATTTTGCAGTAATATCGTCATTCAGCAAGTCATCATTTAATTTTAAAAGAAGATTACGTCGCTGTACACTCATTTCATCTGCCTTATCTAATATTTTCTTCAACAGTTGCCCTTCTGTAGTGTCACCTATAAATAATTTTATTATTAAAATAACCAAATGACGAAAATAAGCAAGTACCTGGCTTCGTATGAGTGTCTGTCAATCGTTTGCTCAATTCATTCAATGGCATGGCTAAAATTTTCAGACTTCCGGAATGAGCGGCTAATGCACGTTGTAATTCTGCATTGTTCGTCCTTCAAATAGTAATCATTTACAAATTTCAATAAAAATTGAATCTACTGAGAATTTTGATTGAAATGATACCTTGCTTTCACATGATGATCATTAATACGGTTGAGTTCTTTCATAATTGCCACAAAACCTTCATCAGTTTTCTTCAAAATTACATGAATTATTCTTCAAATTTCATCGCATAAATTTTTAAAAATTAATCCTCCAAATTTATTTAAAACCACACTAGATAATAAAGCAATATTATAAAATGAAGTCACAATAAATCTATTTAAAACCACAATTTAAAAAAAACCTAAGCTTTAATAAATAACAAAAGCACCAATTTAACAGAGCTGATAGCATCTAGCCTGTTGCGCAGGTTGCTGATTTTGTGGTCAGCTTCAATAGCACAATCTCCAACTTCTATAATGTTTTCAAATATAATTCAGACTTTGAAAGAAAGATCGAAAGACAGTGAAAAATAAACAATACTGTGCAATTTGTCAAGCAATTCGGGGAAAGCATCTGGCTGTGACTTAAATGCCGCGCTTCTTTCCAACAACATTTCAGGCATTTCCTCAATTTCTGATTTTCCGTCGAAATTGATCTCTTCCAAATGCAGTGACTTGATAAAACTTCTAGAAACAAATTACATCTTTTTAAGTAAATAAAATCACAGTTACATATAAACGGTGAACTGAAACTGAACTAAAATTTGTCGAAATCGTAGCTTGAATTAAAATTTGGGTTTCCCTTTTTTTGTAATTAGATTGACCGGCTCTCCCAAAAATATTTTTTAACTCCGAAAAAAAATCACTCCAATTCTTTATCCTTTTGTTCAACTTTCTCAAGTATAGCACGCTTGAATTTCGCTTTTTCCTCACTATAAACAGAAACTGATTTAAGCACATGGCCAGGAAGCAAAGCAGCAAAAAGATCAGGGTCGGCAATCGATGGATCTGTTGGATCGAACCCAACTATTTTTACCATATTCACGCCCTATAAAACTTTCAAACTAAAATTGAAGAAATATGTATTGAAAATCTTAACTTTTTACTCTAATTAATATTATGTAGGACTGATTATGCAAAATTTTTGAAGAGTTACAAAGTTCATGAAAGATAGATTTCATAAAATATTAGAAATATAGTGTATATGTTCTACTTCCAAAAATTAATTGATGATTCCAACAAGCTTTTTCCCTGAAAATTTGATATTTATCGTAACTAATATCGTTTGCTCAAAGAGGACCACAAAATTTGTTACAATTAACCTCAACAGTTGTTAGCTCTTCTGATTTTGGCACTCGATCGTGATAGATGAACTCGTTTTCTTTCTTTGCATTTGTATGTCTGCAATACATTTAACAGCACTTTCTAAATTCTATATTTTACTTTTAAATCAATTTGTAAGAGCTATGTATATCGTACTTAAATTTTCTTCCTACTCAATTTTAGTACAAATTTGCCATTAATTTTGATATAAAAACAATTATTTTGCGACCAACATTTTCAAAAAAATTTTTCACAGACCACTTTAAGATATAGAAATATAAATTAGCTAATTACAACAAAATCAAATGAATGTAACAATTTCATGAAAATTATTTTTTAAAGACAAAATAGAACCAACTTTCCTAATATCACATCGTTTAAGAAAACAACAGCTTCCTTCAAATTTTCTCTCTTATCCTTTTCGACTAGTTTCATAGCGGAAGTCACATGCTCCAGCGCAAGATCAAAATAAGCAACTCTGGAAGAAATAATTAACAGCAGACGTCAAAAATTTTCGTAATGATAAATTTATAAATAAAATTAACAGACCTATAACCCATTTTATTTTCACTTTCTGACTGAAAGCCTAAATGAAGCATTGCAATCGCTCCATAAATTTCCGCTTTCACATCACATGTTCTCATATATTCCTGCAAAAACAAAAAAAAATTAAGTAGATAAAGAATACTATCAAAAGTATAGCCTACTTTATATTTTGCAGAGAAAATATCATTAGACCCAGGTGTGCCAAGATGTTCACGACATCGCAAATATAATTCTTTTAAATGGAACGCTAGTTTTGCTATCACAGTATTCTTTCGGTGATCAAGAATACTTTTTTCAAGCAAACATTCTTGAGCTTGTGCCTGTAAAGTAGCCAAGAAATCATATTTAAAAGTAAATAATATAATACAGAAAGAAAGCAAACTTAATATATACATATATATGATATATCACATACAATAAGAGAAACATACCAAAAAAATGTTAATATAAAATGTTAAAAAAATTGGATCGAAATCAACGACGGAGAATTTCGAGGCACTCATCGAGTCTCGTATAAATTGAAAAGGATATGCAGCGCATTGGAAGTGCATAAAAGCGGTTTTAATTGACTGAAAAAAATTTAGCTCCTTTATATTATTCAAATAACCATTTTTATGAAAACTTATGTACAAGAATTATAAATTAACTTTGAAAATAATCAAAAATTTTTATTTCAAATTAATGCAGCAAATAGTCAAGGCTAACATCCACATCGGCACGCGATTCATTTACAGCTATGGCTCCATGAACTGCACCAATATCATACATTACACAAGCAAGCTCATAATTAATATCTTCAAAGGAAGTAGCATTTGTCATGTCAACATTTTTATCCATCCTATAAAATTTATTTTTCTCAAAATTCTTCCATTTTAATCAAAGTTCATTGTTCTTTGATTTCTGATCTGTTCTACATTAAAAAGTATATGACTGCCTGTAATTACTACCTCAAATTGTTTTGCTTACGTCTAAAATTTACGAAGTGGTCTGGCTTCTAAAATATATATTCTTACATAATCGGTACTTTTATTTGAAGTTTAAACACGTAGAATGACCACTACAAAAAAATCTTAAAGCAAAAATTACCAGGAAAATGGTATGCGAATAGCATCTCCTTTCTCCATAGGAAATCGATTCTTCATTAAGCAAAGCTGAGCATAATATCGTTTCAATATAGTGATCGTTTCAGTATCCGGCAATATCCGCCGCAATTTCTAGAAGTACAATAATTACAATATACTGACTATATCTAATAAATTAAGGACTAATTTTAAGACAATATGATGAATACTTGTGTAGCTAGTAATATATGATATGATATTTAAACTAAAATAATGATACTGTAATATAAAGCAAGATATCGAGATAGAATGTATACTAATTGTTTTAGAATATTATGGTAATGAATCCAAACAATACTTATAAAATTTGTAGAATAAAAAATAAATCACCGATCGCATATTTTCTAGCTCACTGATGGCAGAATTATATTTTTCTGGATCATCCTGATAGTGTGTTAGAATATACTGAAATTATTGTGTATCGTAATACGTAATATTTACAGTTGACAAAATTATTCACCAAAAATATCAAAAATTCAACGCATTCATTGACTGAAAAAATTGAAAAACAACATTGAAAAGTTTTCAGAGTATAAGATGTAATAATACTAGTTACGATATCTTAAGGTAAATGTAATAAAAAATAAACACGATATATTCCAATTTAAAAAGATCACATTTTTTCATGTAACAATAATAATAATAATAAAATAATGATAATGATAATAGTAATAATGATAAGAATAACTGACATTTTTAATTTGAGCTGAAAAAGAAGCAGGCAAAGATGGTGAACACACTTTGACATCAGATGTAAGCATTGGTACACGGGGCATACCCTCCATGTTGAATCACTGCAAATTTTAGTTCTACAAAAGCATTGATATCATTTTATTGAAACATTCATGAATCTTCTGCAATGTATAGTATTGTACAAAAATAAATTATTGCATTCCTTTACACTATCCAGTAATACTGTAGATTTACAAAATTTTGCAGAATCCATGTGGATGAAACATTTAATGCTTCGATCCCCATAAAACTAATCTTTTTTTCAATAAAAAAGGAATTAGAATCCACGTCAATTTGATTCAGTCTTTTATAATGCCACTACGTAAACAGCAAAAACAACCGAGTGGTATTCTACGGCAAGGCATATGCTTAAAATGTTTATATTTGAAGTGTAATGTGAATAAACTTTCTGCCAGAAAAACTGTTACTGTAAATCATTTAATTAATGGAATATGAATTCATGAAGCATTCAGAATTCAACTCTCAGAATCAAACCAAGCTGTTGGTACTTTGCGTGTTTATTTCAATTCACAGTATTTTCATTCCTAGTAAAATTTCAATATATAAAAGATATGGATACATTTGCATACATTGCTACTACTAACAAATAATATGCAAATTTCAGCAATTCCCGATTACGCTTTACTAATTCATACAGTAAAATTTAACTACAGTACTTTATTGCCACAAAAATTCACATGGTGAAATCGCATTATACTGTAGCTGCTAAAATTGTCTTTATTTTGATTTGTACTTTGAAGATTGATCACTTTTTATCAGGAATTGCTTAATGAATTGTTTGCCGTCTAATCTTGCGACACTTATTATATGATCTTTGTTAAAGTTGAAATTTCAAGGATGCTACCGTACAAGTAGCCCTCATGGTCATTCAAGTAGCCCTCATGGTCATTCTGTATCATATTTTAGTTATTGTTTACAGCTTCAAATTTATAGCTCTATAAAAATTGTCGACTGAGGGTTAATCCTTACTGCATCACAGATTATATGTCAGTTTATTACTGTACTTTCATCAGATGTATCAATTATATATTACTTTAGTTACTGCATTGGACATTTTTTCATAGCCTACTGTATCCAGCTATCTCTTCTAGACTGACCGCTTACCATTCACAATATTAGAGTTTAGTGGCCTATCAGAACATAATCATTCTGAATCATACTTGTCGTCCACTAATTATTGTAATAGAAATTACACGGTAATTATTAAATAATTTTAATTTTATCAATTTTTTGCTAATCCACGCCAATGCAATTAAAGAACAATTCTCATATTTAAAATCTTGAAATTAAGCTTGTAGTTAATTAGCACCACAAACTTTTATATATTATAATATGATTGACAAGGATCATTCTATATTTATAATCCTCAAACCAAGAATTGTAGTTAATTAGCACCACAACTTTCTATACATTATGATACGGATGAAGAAATAATTCTATATTTAAAATCCTCAAATTAAGTTTGTGGTTAATTAGCACCACAACCTTTCACACACTATAGTATGATTGACAGTATGATTTTTGCTGGATATGTTGTATATTGTACTACAGTAATACTGTGAACCAAAATTACTGATCAAAAAATAATTTTATCTTGACCATGATAGTAACTTCATCAAAACAATGATGAAAATGATGAAGTGAAACTTTAATTCAATCATCATTACAGTATCAGTGATTGATACAATAAGAAGCATAGTTAATATTTATTAGATAAAATGTATATCATTGTGAGATATTAAAATATGTTATCGTGCAGCAAGTATTTTTCTGGCCAGCATTAATGATTATTTTTTTATATGTAATGACAAAATTACTATTTAATGTAATCAAGATTTGCAAATGAATATATTGATATTTAAATCAGCAATCAGTATCGATTGATTAGGGTTGTACATTTTAAAAATAGCAGCTAGATAGATAGATATGATGTATAGTTTGAGAAGAAGTAGAAGAGGAATAGTAGTAGTAGTTAAAATTGTTCTGGGCTTAAGAGTAAAGACTTTGTTAGCGATTCGTACTTGGCGGCGATAATATAATTATTCTTCTTTTCTTTCTTGCTTTAAGTCTTAAGCTTAATCTTACAAGTAATGAAGTGATAATAATAACTGTGATAACAATCTTTTTATCATTCAATATTATTTTGTATTTTTTATCCTTATTACACTTCAAAAATTTTCAAATTTATTACATTTTTTGAAAAATTTCACTCATTTCACTTTCTTCTTTTACTCTTTCAAAAATATTACCTCAATTTTGTTTTTTTTTTGAGAGAATAAAATAGGCTCACTCTATTTTGGTCTCTAGCTAATATATATTAGCAAAAAACCGTACTAATTGGTGTCAGACTGATCTCATTTGTGATTTTTTCTGATCTCATTTTAATCTCATCCATTTTATCATTTTCGATCCATCCTTAAATTTGCTTGAAGTTTCAGTAGTACTTACTAATGCTTGATTTTTTATCTTCTGCTATGCCATAATCATTTGATTTATTCAATCCCAACTGAACATATTTTATTTTTGTCTTCGTAATCGTCTTTGATCACTAAATACTTACTTGTTTTCCATTGCTTAATTACTTATCTCAAAAGTACTGATATAATTATCAGATGCTTATTTTTAAAATATTCAGTAACTTTATTTATTTGCTTTCAAAAATTTCCTGTAAAGCTTGAAAAATATTGGAAATTTCATGTTTGGGAAAATATAATATCTTTCATGGCAAATAACAGATTTACTACATTTATTTTTAGTTTTGAATGATTTTTAATGGAAATAGCCAAGAAGTGAATTTTTTTTGAATTTGTTATTTGAAAAATATGATAACTTTGAAATAATAAATTTTCCGGTTTCAAAAAACTTACTTTTATTCAAAATTAATTTTAGCTCATTTATGTATTATTAATACACGTATCATTTAGATTTTTGCTTATTTTATTACTTACCTAATTTCTGAAAATAATAAAGTTGAAAATAAATAAGTTAATTAAAATCACTTATTTACTTAAAATATCTACCACAATTTCATCGAATTTCATTTTTATTATTAATACCTAAGTTATTTTTTCACTTAATAAGCAGTTCACTGGCGTCAGATTTATATGATTATTTTTTAAGCAGAAGGAAACAAGCAATAAACTATATTTGATATATATTCCATCTGCTTTCGACCGTTTTATTTGTCAATATATCATATTTCTACCACGTCAACTTACGTGAACATTTATTTCAAACCTATGGAATATATATTTATAAATCGCAGACATAATTAATCTTCCATTCGTTCAAAAGTAAGTAAATAAGTTAGTTTTAGTGTGGTTATCTGTTTTTTTTTTTACTTTCCTTAGCTAAATTTGTATTTTATCCTTCAAGTTAGTTCTATAAAAAGAAAGATTTAAGTATAGAATAAGAACAACTGGTGATTAATTCCAATTGTGATATCAGTTTCAGTAGTTATCAGTCTATGAAATATGCATAAATTAATCAAAGTGTAAGCAAAACTACACATTTTTATTTCTATCTTTTCAGGCTTTTATTACAATTCATATATATATATATATATTATATTTTAATTTAAATAGATTTAAAATTTGATAAAAATATTAACTTAATTTTGTTCATATTTTCTATCATTAGTTTTATTACTACATTATATTGACGTAACTGTGTCAATTATCAAATTTATATAATGTTTTTACTGCACTAATAGCATTTTACTTTCATTATCAACAGCATTAACAGTATTAAATGATATCAGCAATACTAAGTGTCGCTGTTTAGAACAAGTTTTATTATCAACTGATTATTATCACATTTGAAAATGTGTAAACTAATTAATATTTGAACAAGACACGTGCGTAAAAAAGACGTGTAATTTGAGATCTGAAGATAGTGATGCGTAATTTTATTAATTACGTATCACTATTACTTCATTCTTAAATTGTTTAAATATGATAGCATTTTGATTTTACTGATAATATTCAGATTATTACTGCAACAGCTTATTTTTGACTTGTCTTTGATACATGTATTTTGTATGATTACTGAATTTTCTAAAACAGTTACAATACTAGTTTTAAACTTGTTTAGACCAGTTTCAAACAGTTATATTCTGAGTTTTAAATTAGCATAGTCATTATTTGTATACTGTCTGCCTCTGTTGTTATAACAGTAATATATAACATTAAAATCTGAGATATAACTTTTCAAATGAATTTTTTAAATAATAAATGTAATATATTTGTTTCTGCTAATTTTTATTGTGTAGCATTATACAATGTAAAAATAGTACAAAGATCAAAGTACTGCGGAAAAAGAGTACAGTAATGTGGTATTACAATCACTGTACAGTAAGTACAGAATAATTATGCCAATTAAATGAAATTAAATCAGGCAGTCATATATACAGCTCATCATGCACTATTTTTTCAGTAATATTTTTATCGTCACACGTACAAACTTTTCACTGTATGATAATAGTACGAGCGCTGTATATCTCTCATAATATTACTGAGATTTCTTGTAATTTTTGTATTTAAAAATTATATTACCATACTTTGTTATAGCTATAATAATTATTGATGTATTAAAAAACACTATGGATCAGAATCAATAAGCGAAGTAATATTTTTTCTAAACTTAATCATCTTATGATGTTTTCTGCTGTCATGTTTTCAAGAAGTGAATATATTCCCAGAAGAATTAAGCGAAGCTATCAGCCAATCTTTAAGACTGGTTTGATTTTTAGCCTAAAGATTTCTTATCTTACTTTACTGATTGCTGGCTAGCCTTATTGTATTCAGTCATTCAGGTTTATTTTTTTAAGCACATGTAAGCTTAAATTCCTAACTACTTCTCATAATAATCATTTTAATTATTAAAAAACAGTAATCCTTTCATTTACTCTATCTGTTTTATTATGTGATCAGTTTAATAATTATAAGACTAAATTGTATATTTAAAACAATTTTTTACTCTTAAGTGGATATTTTTAATGCTACTTACTTAAGCATTTATTAAAATTGATCAAAGGGATTTTTTCTTAATCTCACGTGACCTTTCATCAATTGACATAAAATATAATTGTGTGCAAGCTTTCAATATTTTGAAATCGTTGAGTCTGCAGCACTTTTGAGGTCAGAAGTGATGATATCAGTGAGTTAGAGTAGAGTTCAAACACCTGACGCTTCAGAAGATTACAAATGCTTATAAATTGCGTAAAGTTGGCTAATATTAAGCAGTACATTTTATTAGGGAGTTTTTAAGATTTCTTAGATTTCTCGGAGTTCGCACAAAAAGATCAGTAAATAATAATAACATTTTAAAAAATGATTGTATTATAAGTAAAAAATTGATTACTCACGTAAATATCACGCAACAATCTTGTAAATAAATTGTTTAAACGTAGAAAATTGACAATCAATTTTCGTTATTATTATACATTCTGTGATAATATTCAAATAATTATTAGGATCAGGGATATTTTTTGAATATCACTACGAGATCAATGATAAAATTTAAATATTACCTTGAAATAAATGATAACTTTTTCATATTTTCTATAAAAATTTTATTTTTTAAAATTTAAAATCTTTTTTCAACTTTTGTAACTGTTCATTTATTTAATTGTCTGAAAATTTTTCAGAATTGAATTTCTTTTGCAATCATAAACTTCGTTATCATCACGACAACCTGTTGAAATGCACATCTGCTATTTTATTCTCATTTTTGTATACTATTTTGCTTAATTCTGATATTCATTACTGAAATACTTAATTATCATAATTTTACTTTTAGTGTAATACTTTTTGTTATAACTAAATTTAATTTCGTATTATCAAAAATTTTTACGGTAGTTATTAATGATTAATTATCATTTATTTTAATGAGTTTCCTTGCTGTTGATTTTTCTTGATCAATCTTAGTATTGTATCTTTTTTTAAATAAATTCTATGTTTTGATTTAATTTAATCAGTGGCTTATTTAACGTTCAATCTAATCGGGGATTCATTTAATCATTAATTTAATCAGTGATTCATTTAATCTTTTTCACGTTTAAAATATACAATGATTTCAGGCTAATGAGTTCTATTCATCGTATTAGTAAAATTTATACGGTACGCAAAAAACTTTCACGTGGTTGGAAAAGATTTCGTTGCATATTATGTCGTTTGATCTTTTCACGATTTCGCGTATGTTAATTTAATGTCTGAAATAATATGCAAAAAATTAATATTTAGCAATTAAAAGTTAAAAATAATTCAGTTATCAATTAAAAAAATTGGCAAAATCCCAATTTATTAAAAATTTTAATCAAAATTTTGTTTTTGTTTTTGGCATTTTTTTGAATTAAATTGATATGACTTCGAAAAGTTTTAGAAAAATTTCACTCATAATTAAAAAAATTAGAATTTTTCATAATTGCTCAAGAATACTTTTATTTACAACGATCAAAAAACTCTACTGAAATTTTATGCACAAAATTTTCATAGTTAATCATTCTAATTTTTATTACTATCATTATTATTATTGATAACATTATTGCTTACTACGATCTATGGATATTATTCTCATGATTATTAGATCATAATTAAAAGGTCAGCAAAAGTTATTAGATTGAGCAAAAAGTCTTTAAGGTAAATTCTCCTGATTATTTGGTAACAAAATTTTGTTCATACAAAAATTGCTCCTTTCAATTTGCTAATTACAGAATCGCGAGATATCAGTGAAGCAATGCTTATGTTCATCCATGCTAAGTTCTGTACCAGAAAACAAAAAAATTTGCCGGTTAAAACTTCAGCCTCCCTCTGGACCAGGTTTATTCACTATCATTGTCATCGTTATCATTATCATTATTGTCATTATTAACATAATAATTATTACTATAACTATTATTTGCAGTCTATTTTGTTATAATTTTTATCATTAACTTAAATAATTTTTTGGTTTCTTGGTAGAAAATTTCATTTCAGCTTAGAATTATTCTCAGGGATTTGCTGATTGCAATATTCACCACAGAAAATTCTCAACATATAGTAATTTGTTTAAAAAATAAATCATATTTTGAAATTAACAAAATATTTAAATTTAGCTCTTGTAAAAATTGTTTATAAGAGAAAATTGACTAAATTGAAATATATATTACCGAAGAAATGATTGCTAAAATTAAAGATTATTTAGTATCACAAGGAAAAATGATAATTAGTTGAAAGCTTTTTGCTTTCCAATATGTATACAAAGTATCTAAATAGTAATCGAGTACTGTAATAATTTGTAAGCTAATCAAATTTGTGTAAAAGTGTACTTAATATAAATAATATAAAATTATTATCAGTAAAAATAATTACAGTCAAACCAATAAGAAGAGTGATGTCAAAGTTAAGTCGAAAGCCAACAAATGAATTAGAGCGAATGATGCGTAAGGTAAATTTGATGGAGTTGAAAATTATTGTAAATAATAGTAAGTAATTTTTTGTTCAGTCTCAGAACTTGAAATACTGCAAAATTTTTTAGAAACTGTGGGATATATTCGTTTTTTATAATTGTTTATTATCTATCTAAATAATATTTAATTATAGTATATATCTGTTGCTACTGTAAGGAATCGCAGTAGTTGTGGCACAAGTCATTCACTGTAAGATATATTTTTAAATAATTTAGTGGTTTTTAAAAATATGGCTTGGATTAGTAGGTCAAAACTTCGGTCAAAATCTTAATTGTTTGTGATAACAACAATTTTCACATAGCCCACTTTCATTTCATCGATTACTGTATTTTTGCTAATCAAGTTTAAGTATTATTTGGTATTAAAATTAAATAGTTATAAGTAAATAATACAATTGTAGGGTGATGATTGGTCTGCAAATGATTTATTCAAATTTCAACATGGTAATTTGGATCATTATGATATGGATGAAAAGCGAGCAATTTGTACAGAATGGCTTAGGAGATTACAGAAAATACCAAAAAAATTTTGCTATCTAGCGTGGTTTGTCAATTATTAATACATTAATTACTATTAGATATTATATTTGTATATTACTGTATATTAATGAATTTGTATATTACTTTATTTTAATGATCAATAATTAAGGTATGCATCTGCAATGTATACATGTTATTATCGCTTAGCTCCATTAATCACTGATAAGGAAGAAAAAAAACGGATTTGGATTGATGTGAAACGAGAATATGCCGAAATATTTCTTATGGGTCGACGAATTTGGAGGCGACCGACGCATCCTACCAGACTTCGGATACTGTATGATTTAGCTATGCTGTGTGTACGATTCAATGATGTGCATGTAAGTGTTACATTAAAAGACAAAAAATGAATTACTGTAAAATTGATACAATTGTTTTAATTTCGAAAACTAGTAAGAAAAGTTGAAACAATTTGATGCATACAGATTTGAAAAAATTTTTTGTTGGAAAAAAGTTAATTATGTTATAAAGTTAATTATGTGCTTTTTTGTTTAATATTTTTGTAATTTATTTAGTATTTTTAGCATTTTTATAATTTATTTAGTATTTTTTATATAAAGCGAAATCCCATAACTAAGCATGACTAAATAATTTTTTTAAATGGTCAAGTAACAATGAATGATTTGATCTAAAAAATATTTTGACTATATTTTTGTTTGGTAAAAGATCTATAATAAAAAAAAATAATAAGTCTGTAGCCTGTAATATGGCTTGAAAAGCTAGAATAATTTGTAAGGCTCAAATTGAATTAAGCAAATATATTATTAAATTAATTTTAGAATGATGAGACAGTATTATTATTTCGAGATTTGCTTGATGACAATGATAATTTCAACTTCGAAGTTCTAGATGATATTGAATATGCGCAGTCTATCGACAAGGTTTCATTTGATTTGTATTTTTATTTAATTCAATTAAATTTCAAAAAAAAATATTTTCTAATTTTTTTAATATTTTTGCATATATTTGTTATTCACTAACAAACCTTAAAATGAAATTGGTTAAACAAATATGAACTGTTTTAATGCTTTTTAAAGTTATATTTTATAGTAAGCTTTACTAAGAATGCTATTTAGATATATTTATTGAAATTCAAAGCGTTAAGGTTTATGAAGAACACAATTTTTGATAATTCAACTGAAGTCTTAGCAAAAATTTGTATTAAATAAATTTCCAAGTATAATTTATAAATACAGTACAATTTTACAAATACAGTAATAGATTCACAAATATAATTGGGTTTTTTATATAAATATATCAATCACTGAGGAATCTTAGGACCAATTTTTTCACTCAAAATTCCAAATTTACAGTGTTTGTATGATTTTTAGCAAATATGCATTTATTTATTTGGGAAAGTTTGTAAGTTTGTGAAATAATTTCTTGTCATTTTTAGTTGGTTTTATGATTAAAAAACTTGAAAGTGTATTTTTAACAAATAAAATTACTTAAAGAGTAAAATATATAAATATATGAATAAATTTTATATGCGAAAGATTAATAATTTTAATGAATTATGAATGTCAATAGTCAATAAAGCTTTGCTACTTTTTAGACTGTACGCTTAGAAAATCACGTTATTGATCTATTTTATCAAAGACGTAAGTCAAGTTGTTCTACGCGCTCTAGTTTTTATTCCAAAGGCAGTACTGAAACTCCTCGAAGCAGTTTCCGTAGCTTAAAAGCAAAAAGCGATGAAGTGAAAAGCTCTAAATTAAGAGTAAGTATAATTCTTTTTTCGGTATGAATATGATCACTTTTTTGTAATCACTGATAAGGTACAGTAATATGATCCTTTTTTAAAAAGTTCTTTTGATCCAAAAATCAAAAATTACTGAAATTCGTTATTAAAAAATATTAAAATTTGTCTGAGTTTGATATTTTACAAAGCATTCTCAAAAGTTAGAGTTAAATAATAATACTCTACTATTGTTACTTTCAGAATGGATCATTTTTATCAATCCCAGATAATATGATATCTGATTCAGCAATAATTACAAGCGTGATTACGTCAAAAAGTCCTGGTGTTACTCGCAGGCATAGTGTACGTTTTGCTGAAAAATCTAGCAAAAAATCACCATCAGATGATGATCTATTATGTCTTAACGAGAAAACGACTAAGCGAGAAGAAACTGTGACAGAGGACACTATCAAACAACAAATGGATGATACTACTGTAGCTACCAATGTTAAGGATCTGAGCATGATAAATAACATTGAAACTGATACTGCAACTGATATAAATTCGTTACAAACAGATTGTTTGGAATCTGATGAAGTTGTTAAGAATGGTAAAATTACTGGAATTACAGTAAGGTCTGATAGGCATATTGTAATTAGAAAAGATTCAGATCATGCAGAAGCATACAAAACACTATCAGATTTTGTAATTTGTCGAAAAAAAGCTTTTATTTCTGTTTCTCCATCCAGAAAATCTCTTGAAATATTTGATACCACTAAACGGGAAATGTAAATTTATTTACTTTGATGTTATTTGTTAATTATCACGTGTGTTTTGTATATGAGATACTTGGCTGCCAAAATCATTTTTACGAAAATACATTTGATTACAGTCCCTTAAGTGTTATCATATTTAAAAGTTCTTCTGTATAGTTACAAAAAAGATCTTCCGTTAGGTTGCATTTTGTTGGATATACCGTATTTATTAAAATTACTAAAGTGATTTTGAATTACAGTAAATGATTGTCAAAAAATTTGAAATTTTGAAAAAAAAACCTTTGCCTTCATTATTTTTAACACATAGCATTGTTTTTCATTGTTTTTTTGTCATTATATGTTTAAAAAATACTGTACCTTTCATAAATTGCTATTATTATACATTTATACCATTTAAAAGCTACCGTTTATATATTAAGGAGTTATACTCATATTTGAATAAAATTTAGGAAAAAAAAAATCATTTTTGATTTTTGTCTGAAGGAAATTGATGAAGTTTTTCAAATTTCATCGGTTATTTAGCATAATAATAATTCATAAATTCAAAATATGATTCCTTGTGAATGTAATAATTTTATCTTCAATTGTTTATTATTGTTATTCATTAATTTTCTTCGATAATCATAGTTTCAAAATTAAATAAAATAGCATGTTTTAATCAAAATTATTATTTTAACAAACAGTATTATTTTGCATAAAAGTTATGTAAACATAAAATTTGCATATTTTATACAAATTATTTCTTAAATTGTTGCATTAACTTGTGGATAATGAGTGTATCACGAAAATTTATCGTATAATATCAGCGAATCCAAACCTGACGAATCGTCGAAAATT